TTAGTAACATTATTTAAGTACCGAACAGCTGCCAACGCCCTCAAATGGTCGTTTGAGATGCTATCGGTTGGCATAATAACTTAGTGAACTTCCAATCTTACGTGTAGCAGTAACTTTCAACATAGTAGATCGCGAGGCTACGTCCTAAAGGCAAATGCGTGTTTGTCTAATATAGCTCAAAGTACGTAGATGCAATCGGGTGCAATAATTTTTTTATTATCAGCTAGAAATTTTAACGACCTCGCTGTATCTAGAAGTAGGGTTAATGATGTTATTTGCAACTGTGAGCTCCTCTATTTTGTAATTGATAAAACGGGCGCCCTTAAATGAATAAATAGTAAAATATACGGGGCATTCACACGTCGAGCTTGCACTACCCGTACCTGCTATTATATTAATCGTTGATTAGAAATCGCTATTTCAGATGACAGATCTGCGCCCCGTGAAAGCGTCTGAGGCCGAATCCAATTATCTGCAATATCGAATTTTACATACATGGCAATCTACGCGCGGATTGGGTAAGCCGTCACAAACGACAGAAAACGATCTCGAAATATATGTATTCAGCCGCTTTTTCGATAACGAACCGACAGGAGTGGTAGTGTGGGCCAATTCGATCGAAGAAGAAAGGGGTGTGATTAGAGGAAGCCAGCTTATTCGAGCAGTACAATATAAGTACTTTTGTTGGGTCTTTATCGGCTCATTCAATCAAGCTGGACCTAAAAAAGGATAGATTGAAGCAAGGAACTAACACCATACGACCGAGTTACAATCGAAGGCCCAATGCACCCTTTTCGTATCAGAAATGCGTTTGAACGACAGTTTATCTGTAGATTCGCATTGTCTGCAGAGAGGAGGTCAGCCAAGAAGGCAATCAAGAGCAAGATTCTCCAAATATCTATCATATCAGGCGAATCTACGGGAGCATACAATAATACAGGCGTTTTGACGCTTGTCGATAACATGTTACGGCTGCAATGAATGCAAAGTTCGGTCAACTTATGAGACAACTGCAGGTGTCATCTCAAAACTCGAACCTGTACGTTGTTAAATACCTGCTATATTAATGCATGTTCGTGAAAATCAACGTACCTGTGTATATGCTATCCATCACATCGCCTCAACCTGTCGTGTGGCCACCGATCTTAAACTTTCTAATTCTTTAGTTTATACTGTGCAGTTGTATATATATATATATATATATATATATATATATATATATATATATATAATCGGAGCATTTTATAACCACATGCTTCATGCCTATAGAGCCCTATAAGACACAATCTTTAGTATCCGACGCGTTGCTGGCGCTCTACAGCATGAGTCTGAAATAACAGGCCTACAAATGCGGATTTTTCGCCGTTCCAAAGCGCGACCTATTGCTCTAGCAGTACTCGTTTCTGCGGTAGATGTTTATATCCGTTGTCGGTGGAGTAGAAAGGGGCATACTTTTGCGGCCGTATCCCGCAAATTAGCACACATAGGAATCACGTTCGTACGTAATTCAAACTCTTCTGCCCGGAGAATAGCATTGCTATCATGCGCCAAACGCATTTTGTGCTTAGATAGCTCTGAGGCCACGCAGAAAATGTTGAGGCTTCGGTTGCTCGCGCAAATACGGGTCTTATTTTCTTTGTACCCTGAACAATAGGAGACACCTGGCTCGAGTAAGCATACATACATTGCTATCGATGCCTAGCGATGACTTCCCTGTTGAGGTCGGCATCATTGCAAAGGTTTGTGGTATCCGAGGTGGCGGGCTGGCGAGTGATCCTCATTGTCGAGCCGCATAGTACACACGTCATGTGAAGTTAGCACAGTTTGTTAGGGGCGCTCCGGTCAGCAATGGTGCGAGTCATTACCTGGACTGACCCAACAGAGGACATTGGCTTCGTTGCGCTAAGAAAATTGGGGAAAGACACTCACCTTGCAGGGACCGCTTGGCACCCAGTTTCGGCGCACATATAGGCAGCCTTCCTCTGTCGACGAAAGAATTCCCACGCGAGCCAGCCTCTTCTGGAGACAAGCGTTGATACAGCCTCCCTTTAAAGCTTTCCCACGTATCCCCTGCATTTATTTCGAAATCGAACTAAGCCCGAAATATTTCTTCTAAATGTTTACGCGTCCACTTCCCGACATAGTTCAGTAGCTGTTGCTAATTCTTTCGTAGATCGCTTTGTTTCGAGCCCATTTTTTGGACTGTCTTTCATCGAACTTTACTGGGGGTGATTCTAAATCATACGGCCGCCGGATCAGCTTATTCGCGATCTATATATACATCCTAACCTTATTTCCATAAACTGGAGCCGTTAAGAAAGGTTCATAAAGGTTTCATCAAATACTATTATAAAGTTCCTACGGACTGCGTATGCTTATACTATGTGATGCTTACAGTCGCTTATGCTTGGGATCCATTTTGCAATATCGTCTATCATCTGTCTACAATCTAAATGGCTAGTAGTTTCCACTAGACAAGAGTCTAAGTTACTTCTGCTGTCATTAACTTGTACTCTCTTATGATTTAAGTCCGCTTCTCTACAGACAGGTGCCGCATAGAAGGTTACAAATTTGACCATTGGCGTGAAAATTTGCGCTTTCTTCAACCTAATGGCGTTAACCCGCTAGGCCTGTCGATCGGCGTTAATTCTATTTTAACGTTCTTCCTTGTTCTAATGAATTCTTGCCCAATTTCACTTTGAATGTTAGTTCCGCATTTTGCAGTACAGATGTATATATATATATATATATAGTTTATTGTTTAGATGAGGCTTAATTGTCATGGGACTTATGATAGTTTCTATAAAGCATAAACGAAAATTATAGGCCATGACTAATTGTTGAGGTGAAACTGAATGAATGAATTTTCCGTCAAATACCATACGTTCATTCGATCTTCGACCGATAGCAACTAAATGTTCAGATAAACTAACCTGTCGGCATTTTGCCGCACAGCGCGAGAACAGAGCACGCTAAGCCCGATCCAAATGATATAACCGATTCCCCTTTATGACATGACGATTACTTGTTAATATAATCCGTAAACGCGTTTGCCAGATGCCTTTGAAAGAACGATTATCACGCCTTTGGCGATAATAGACTATGTTTGATAATTGGCGAAAGCGCTTCATTTGACTTCGTTTCCTGTCCGGCTGGCGTCACGGGTACCGATCGCTTGCGGCAATAGCAACAGCAGGACATCATGGCGATAATATGAAAAAAAGCAACAAAATATTGTCGTACTTACATAAAAAATTCAACGCTGCAGCTACTAGGTTACGTGATTATTATTCTTTTGTTTAGGTGTATGAAAGATCACGTGTCGAGTCGCTGAATAGCTAACTCTACAATAAGGGTAAGTCTACTGGTGCTTTACATAGCGGTAGAAATAGTATGCCTCTTCATTTCAATATCTACGAATATTTGTGTACTTAACATGTGAATCTTAGTCAGAAATGTTCATTTATTCGATACAAGTATTTAGTTTGTTCGTTCCCTATACTCGTACTATATATACATAGATGCTTCCTACAAAAGTACCTGGCAAACCCTGCTGTGGGAACTTTCAATAATTAATGCCGTCGGGAAGATCGTTCAGCGTTTAACTGGATAACAGTTGAAGGATTCTACAAACGCAGAGGCGGGACAAAGAACGAACTTTGTGAAATTCTGCCCAGTTTACCTAATTACTACAAAAACTCAAAATGTACTAAAGGTATTAATGAACGGCTTATCGCCGATTTCGACGTTGAGTGATAACAGTGGTCTTTAGGCATCCATAAGCTACCTTCAGAAGTATAAGTTATTCTCTTTTTTAAATTCATTGTTCGCAGGGCGACATAGAACGTTCTCTGGTGGGAAGCATAGTACTATGAACGTCGTTGATGACGCACACAATAGTACCCCGTCAATTCATAGTGTTCGTTATAAAATCTATAGTTATAGCAATAAATTCTATTATACGCACTGAATTGAATTTTCGTGGTATTCCTGACAATTACTTGTATCTCTGTATGGGCAGCTCGTGGATTCAGAACTGATCACTTTTCTTCGTTGATTGCAAGCAAGAATTGATCGTTATCTATGGCTGGAATGAGGACTATTAGAAGCAGCAGAGACTCATAAACATAATAATGAAAAGCCTATGTTTCGACTGCCATAACAGCGGGCCAACGGGGGGTAGCATCGGACCATACCTCTCCTATGCATGTTACCAACCAGTAGCGTAGACTGCACAAACGACAAGCCCTGGATCTCTGTAAAAACGACTGGCGGTACCAAAGAAACGACAAACTGTGACGCTGTCGTTCGATGACGCTATCGTGCAAACACTCGTTGAGACCGTCACGGGGGGCTGGTTCAACATTATCACAGGCAGAAGAAGCTGCGCTGTTCGAGCTTCCGCATACGCATACACGTGCATCATCGCAATTATTACAATTTTTTTAAAAAACATATAGACATTGAAGGTTTTTAGCCATATTTGCTGTCGCTGTGAACGAATTTGTGTCGATTAAACAAATCGACCTCGCAGTATAGTTAGTCGTACCTATCGCAGTCAAGAAGCCTTGCTACTTTCCCGTACGCCGAAAAGTCCGAACAACTCCATAGCAAGATATTTTACCATATGCCTATATATATATTATATGATCCAACGTTCTATTGATGTCAATCCATTTCATAACCGAATTTGTTCCAAAGTGGGCCCATGTGGCAGAATATTATATTAAAGGCTGCAATGGAAAGGACAAATAAAAAAGAATCAGTTGTTAAATATACTAAAGTATTGAATAAGTCAGCTAAAGAAACAAAAAAAAAAAACTAGAACTTTAGTACAGTTCGCCATCCTGCAGTAATTAACAAGCTTACACTTACGGAGCTATATGTCGAAGCATTATATGGGGAAGAAACAGAAAAGCCTATCTCTAACCGATAAGTTTTGTAATCTTTGAATATCTCCTTTACATGTAGTCTACTTTCTTTTTTGGTCTGCTTTTCAGGAGTCTCAGTGTACAGGTATATTCCACCTTCGTGTACTTGAGCTTACACCACCACCCGGTGGTCCATGTAGCTTTGCAGGTTCTTCAAACAACGGCACAAGTTCTAGTAACAGCAAGCAGATTTCTTCCATGCGTTCTGCTAGTTCTTCCTACAATATTGGCTCATGCAATACTTATGTAAAAGCGTGCCTATCATATGCAGGCTCTAAGGGCTGCCAACTCGGCTCGTTCGTGAGCGGGCTCTTACCAAATAACACGTTTGAGGGTGGTTTTCCACTAGTTACGTCGTTTACCTTCGAACAGCCATGGTCGGTAAGTAACAAAACGTAACTGGAATATCAACCTGCGTCCTTCTGTGCGATATTCATTAGCCATATTGAACTCCCGAGCTTTTTCACCCTGAAATCGTTAGTTTATCTCTTATATTAGTTTTCAACAAAATTACGAATAGGGTAGCTAGGGCGACATTTAATTATTGCTCAATTTATGTTTATATATGGTCTTGTGCTATTCTATACTGCAAAATCTGTTAATGTTTGTATATTACACATATAGAACATGTTGTAATACGTGCTGAGCACCTCAAAAGCAACTTGAACGATGTTTGCGTTCTTTTTCTGCGTAGAATCACCTTGACGAGAAAGAATAAGACGCCATCTTTGGAAAAGTCGGTTTGGTACTCTGAAATATATCGCTTTAGATCTAATTGCAATATGAGAAAGGAGTAACTTTTTTGTTTAGCTTTCTCAGTAACAGCAATTAAGAATTCGTCAACTATGTTTACCTAATGATCATTGAGTTGGTAAAACTTTATACACTAAACAATAATTGAACCCTAGAAAAAATGTTTCACTACAGAGCTGAATGTGGTGCTTTCTAAGGAAACAGTTCAAAATGAACAACATCAAGCTATTTATATTGCCTAACATAGACTTTATGTTTCACCTTAGGACAGTGGAATTAGAACAAAAATCTACTATTGGACAGTGACAGCTTAATTGCAATCCCGATACCCCATACAGGCGAATAAAAGACCATTCCCACATCAATTTACAGGATAACTAGGACGCTACAATGAAACACCTTTTTTAAGAGGTGCTTAGGCCTAACGTCAAGTACTGAAATTTCGTGAACAATGCATAGGTTCACAGAGATAGAGTAATGGAAAGTGGGACAACGGGGTCATGGGTATAGTGCCAGAGGGCGCTAAATTAGCTGCACCAAACACGGATTGGACGAGCACGATCTAGCTTTAGTCAGAGTGGTAATACCAACCGGTTAAGTTAGCTAGCATCCTGCATCGGTCGGCGTGATAGACAGTGGTGAAAATGTGTATATATAAGTATGACTTTGTTCAAATACACTGCAGAGAATGTATTTTATTCTATACTTACAAGCTCTATAGAGATCTAAAATTACATAGATATTTCAATGACTAAAAGCCACATTATGTCGAGAAATTCTCATCGGCTGGTTGTCAGGGAAATTAGGCTGAGCCGTAACAGCTGCTTGTGTGGCGCGTACTATCATACAACGATACGCTTCGTTGTTTTTGTAATAAGCTTGAATAAATATATCTTTAGCGGAATCCGCAATATACACGTACCTGACTTTACCCGCATGTTAACCGGGCCTACCTGTTCAACACTATTATAGACGATGCTTTCAACAGTTGAATATTTGGAGGCCTGTTAGATCCTGATTTCGTCTAGCTTGTCATACGCGCTCTAGTTGGAACTGTTCAATTAACTTTTTAACTAAAAAGGACAGGACAGTGGGGGGTCTCCACAACTATCGCATCCGATGGTCGCTAACTGCTGAGTATCAGGGTGACAGTAACTCCAGCCTTACTGTTCATAACCGTCTTCCAAATCTTGAGCCCACTAAGTATGTTAGCTACCGATGTTGTCAGTCTCCACGGTCTTTTCTCAGGCTGTTGTATGATGCGCGAAAGGTTGTTGTAGCTTGCTAAGTTCCATAAATTACGATTTAGAAGAGCACACCAAAGACTCTCCTTCTTTCAGCCGTTCTTTTCTGTCGTGCGGATGTCCTAAAAAGACCTGTCAGCATGCATTTCATAGCGATAGTTTTGGCAGAAAGTGCTTTCAGCTGGCGGATGTCTACTCCGCCTTGTTCTTCTATCAGCGATTGATCTGTTGAAGGCATGTGTCCCTCACGATATACATACATTTTTCATTGCCAAACCATAGGACACTTTGTTTCAGATGAGGATGCATGCTTGAGAGACAGTAACTCCAATGGATCTCAAGTGATGAGGTTTACCCGAAAGCCCAGAAGGGTCTTCTTGAGAAGATACCGAACAACTTCAAGAAAGTTTATTTTTTCACGCGGTCCTCTTGCGCGGCGAAGGAAAAATTTTTTTGGGCTACTACTTTTCGATGACAAGTTCTGATCCCTCTGACTACACCGCTTCAAGACACAGTAGCTCCGAATTGGCCCGTGCGCATAAACAGGCTGATACGTACATCATACAGTGGTTGATAGCGTCTTTGCATAAACCCTGCGTTTGGTTAGTACTGCGTGCACTGAACGATGATCTGTTGTGGTAAGCGTCTGGCTGGAAATAGTATAGTGACTTATACTAGCCCTACCATATTTCACATGCTACGCAAGCTTCACAAGTCTCAGAAAATTCGCATATAGCCAGGTCATACGACTAGGGCTACTTGTTCCATTCGTCTTTGAGGCATTAATAAGTTTTCATTCTCTGACCGCTAGGGCATTGGATACAGTTTGTAACGTGCTTGTGGCAGATACAAGGGACAAGTAAACGGGACAGTTTGTATAGCAACGACCTTCATTCAACTTGCATTGCAATTGCTATAGATGATACTTTGACTGGCGAGACTAGCGGTGGAATTAAGTATACAAAGGATTAAGTATATAAAGGTGCTTTATTTGTCCCGAAAGGCAGTCCTATCATTCGATATAAACCCTCTGCCGTATAAATCTCTATCGTCATTGTTTTGGAATACTCGATTTGTGTGGATATAGGCTTCGTCTACAAAGATACTGAAAACCTATGCTGAGCCATCCTGAACAAAGGGTTGTCATGTTAGCAATCGAGTAATCGACATATAAGCGTAGTGTTTCTTTTTGCCTCGTATTTAATTCATTTTTAGTATTTCGGAAGCTGTGACGTTTTACTTTCCTAACTGACTAGTCTTTGACTTCGCGTCAGGCGTTGTTGTCTCTTCGAACCTTAGGCATTTTAAAACACGTTCGACTATAATTGTTTTGTCTGCAGACACAGCACTTTCTGCCATTAGTTGTTCCAAGTTCAGGTTTGTCTGAGAGTAGTAATCTTTTTTGCGAAATAGCATTTTGCTTGAAAATCATAGCTGTCCATACGCACTTAAAGCCTAACTACACTCAAAACCGATTAATTTTCAATATATTTTATTTTCTTTTTAGCAGTCCTTTTTTGTTGTCGCTTGCGGTACGTCGTTTTTTTCGTAATAACTTTTTGAAGTTATTCAGTGCACATTTGCTAGATGTCTGAATTTGCCTCTATTCGCATACCTAGTTTTTATACTTGCCACCCATTAATAAGTATTTATTGGCTACATTTACATAACTTCCTGCGTGGTCGCTGTTCTTTTATTTGCTTTGATGACTAACCGGTAGTCACATATAGAGGCCTCAATATGTCGCAACTAGTATATCATTTTACGCACTTATAGGTATCTTGAGCATTTCGCTCATGCGTATCTTTTTGGCGTTGTGTAACTTTTCTAATCAATATGTAGCTCCTTAAGGAGAATGTCTTGTTTATGGATTCTCTATAAGACTGGCGCTTGAAGATCGACGCAATAATTTATCAGCCCGGCCAAGTACTGATATGCCTTACCGCGACCATAATGCGGATACCGCACTAAATGTACTAATTTTTCTACTCTGAAATCTTGTTTTATAATCACTGCTGTGTCAAATCGAATGCAGACCAAATCTATAAACCTAGCTAGATCTGCGTCCTTTTTTTTTCTACTACGAACAAGTTTATTTTTCGTGGGAACGGGCATATTGGTTGGTCAAACTAGAATGCTAGCACGTCCTTCCAGTCTCAGTAAGCTACTCGAAACGCTTCGTTGCCTTGTGGTTGCTCTGTGTTTAAAAGGGCAAAGTCTTCATTCGTGTGGTGACGGCAGTGGGCATTCAATTTAGAAAATTTTTACTCGTCGTAAAGGATGGTAAGTCAGCGCAGCACTTGACTCTTTACATTAACTTTCGACCGATTCCGTGATGATGCCAGGCTACTGATCGGTTTTTTGAGTATGCAAACTAACTTCTACCTTATTATATGCATAGGAATGCGATTATTGAGAAATTCTATTATTTAAAGCGTGCTGATTTAACATGGAAAGGTTAGCTGGCAGAAAAGAGTACTTTAGATCCGCCCGTGCTACGTTTGACATGTAGACATTAACTGATTTCTAAACAACTGAAGATGAAATGAACTCCATTAATGATGACCTTATTGCTCATACGGCTACGTTAAAATGAACAGACATATATGTAAGTTTCGTTTGAACTCTGATGGAGAAGAAACATATTCGGGTAAAATTGAAGGGTAATTTTTTTGTTTATTAATTACTTCACAAGAAAGGGTCCTAGTATATTATAAATACCATTTTCCAAAATGCTCGCTTCCTTGAATATAGTATAAAGGTGCCGCAGCGTTACAGCATTGACAATTTATGCTACGAATACTTTTTTCAGGGCAAATTCGAATTAGCATTGGAGTCTTGGCTAGCCCCAAACGGAAGCGATGCGGTGCCTGGTGCTTCTAGTGAGAGCTTCCGTCAACGGAGTAACCGTTTGGCTCGTCGTAAAAGACCCCGAATCTTTGTCGAATCTCTTCGAAACGCTGCCCTTGCGGGTCTTGAATGGGCAGCTCGTGCGATCCTAACCCTACCTGACCGCTTCTCTATGGGTAAGCTTAGCGAGCGTGGCTCAGACCCATAAAAAGCTGGTTAAAGAAAACTTAAGTCCCCATTGCAAAAACGAAAATTCTGATATCTAGCTCGTGCTATTATCTTCGTGTAAAGAGCAAATAATATGCCAATCTAATTGGTTCTAGCTAGAATCAAGAGTTAACATAAACCATATTTTCACATTAGGAGTGGCAAAATTTGTTTTTTCAGTTTCTCCGATGGCAGACACGTATCGAAATTGATTTAGGCCGCAACCACGAAAAGTCCTATCTCGTTTATGCTTGTTGTCTTTTTAGCCGTTATCTGAAGGCTGATATTTTCTCAGTGTATCTATACGATTGGGTATTAAAAAAATTATAAAAAGATGTTTATATAAATGGAAAAAAAAATTCAGAGGTTTTTCTGCACGGAACCTCTTCACATACTGTTCGATTTACATACTTTTTTTTTGTTCTGTAAATGTTTGTTCTTTTATATCAACTGCAGGTAACAAACAAGCTTATGATACGTCTTTATTTGAAAACATTTTACGAAAATCCGCTATATAGATGGAGTAAGAGTGAGCCTGTTTTAAACATAGGCGTATGCTTCATTTGGCCTTATGTTAGCTGTCGCAAAGGGTGTAGTGCAAAATTATTATCTTTTTTTAATAAAATTTGCAAGTTTTGCCAACGCTACTTGATTATACTTTATGTTATCACTTACAATCAACAAAAATAAGGCGTAAGATATAAGGTGAAGTTCTGTACAGACACAGACGTGTCTCAAATTTTAAGTATACGCGAACGTATCTCAAGGCACTTCGCAAGCAATTTTTTTAACTTGAAAACGTTAATTATTAGAAATTAATTAAAAGAATCATTATAGTACTAATTTCACGTTTAGAACAATTGGTTCGGCAGAGAGCTACTAAGCGCTTTGCCTTCTGCCCGCTACAGAGATTCACTGTTATAGCGAAACATTCGATTCCCAAAATAAAGACCCCAAATACCCAACCCAAAATAAACTGCCAATCGAGCGTATATGATGTAATAACTCTGTTTTGCTTAAAAGTGGACATGTCAACTGGATACCTTTAATACTTATTAACAGGAAAACGGCGTACAGACTCATCCGTATCAATCTCTCGAACAGTAGCTGACCAGCAGGGTGGAGCGCTTTTGGCCAGGTTTGTAAGCGTTTACTTGCATCTTTAATCAATTAAAAAAAATCACTCTAAAAACATCTGTGTATGTGTGTGTGTGTGTGTGTGTGCTGTGTGCTGTTCTCAAAAATAACTCTAATACTAATGAGGATACAGCTCCGCCTACACAACACATATTCATGCCCATATCGCTTTTCAATTCAAACGATCATCACAAAGTTTAACACGAAAGTATAAGAGAATTGACTGCACACATCTGCACTCATATATATATATATATATATATATCTGTATAAACCAAACATAGCCATAATTTCGCCATCGTGTCTATTATGCCGTTGGATGAAATAATTTTACGGTTTACAAACAGCTACCCCGTTGCAGTACCCTCGTTCATCTGGCCTGTTACGCTTTCGCAAGCCTGACATCAAGCGGTGATAACATAAAGAGGAGACATTTTTCCCATTTCGTAAAGGTTTCGAACACGAAAAAATCCGAAGATCTTTTTTCCACAAATTCTTAACAATTGTCGAGCAAAATAACTCGTCGGCTTTCCTAAAATTTACATTACATTCAATGGGGAAAAATTATCCAATCCAAATAACGTTAATCATATATGTCGAGTTGATTTAGATTTCTTAAATTTCGCCAATTTAATCCAGTTAACATGGCGCCCTGTTGAGGAGGAACTGCCACCCGCAAACAAAGTATTTGCATATTTTTTCCCGATCCATATCTCAGCAACTACGACCTATTTCCACAAAAATAACCATGTTTGGTACGAGGTGAGTAAAAAAAAAATTAAAAAGGAAAATAAAATTCAATATTACACACGTCGAGCTGAAAAAACATTTCCAACGTATTTCAAAAATTCTTAACTGTTTAAGAAACGCAGCAAAAAAACGATCAGTTCGACAAAATTTACGACAGAAGTAAAATAAACTCCGCCGGAAAACAAATATGGAATTGGTTCTATCGTACATCCACTTTTCAGGGTTGAACCCTAACGACCCACCCAAAAGCAGATGAATTCATCGACTATACGAAGTCAGTTCAAGTTGGACGAAAAAAACCCAAATGGAACAATGTCTTGCGCGTATTTCACGTTGATAGGTTCAACTAACTTCATTCATTAATATTACATTCAACCTAGCTTAAACTATGGTACAGTCATCCCATTGCAGTTATCTCACCCGCGTAACTTCCTATTATTGTTTAGCTCATTTAAATAAAGGTATTCAATTTCTGTTCGACGTAACGTAACTTTCCGAAATTCACAGAAATAATCCTAAGAACTTTTTGCTATCGTTACATGAGTGAAGTAATACAACCAATCGACTCCTATCAAGCCCTATAGAATTTTTAGTCACCTGATCGGGATTCGGTGAAGAGTAAAACGGTCGAAAAAGTGGTACTTTACATAGAAAAAATTGTGTATTTTTCTCAACACATCTTTCAGAGATTACTTTTGAAAAAATGTGTCTTACAGAAACTCATTTCAACTTTCCGATTGATATCTGTTAGAAGTTTTCTCGAAAAGCCCGCTTAAAGCTCGCTCGGAGCAGATTTCCATTGCATTGCCATTTGTAAATAACAAATGCCACATTTGGTTTTTCGCCATTTTTACGCCAAACTAATCCCACAAGGAACCCAAAAATAGCCATTCCAAAAAGGGACCCGATAGCCGGATATTCCACCAATGCGACTTGCGTGACACTTGGCGTACACTTAGTAAAAACTGGTTTCGTCGTAACTACCCCGTTGTAATGACCCCATGCCAATTTTATTAACCTATTTTATTTTTCGAGTTCAGTTGGTCTATCAGAGATGCCTACCCCGTCACAATATCTCTGCTTTGCGTATTCCGTGCTTCCATTGGACGCTACAGTGACCTCGTCGGCTCGTTTTGCCCCCAATTTCTGACATAAACTATCACTGTCGTATTCCAAACTTACACTTGTATATATGAGTGCAATTCTTTTGAAACTCAGTGATATTAATTCTATTATGCCGTTTCATTTTCCTCCTTAGAGTAATCGTGTTTTTTTGATCTAATTCCTTTTTTACTTGAGGTCAGTGATCTGCCACGGTTCGGTGCAGTCACTGCATTACCTTTTTCAGAGAAACTTTGCTGAAATGATTCCGTTTACCTATCACAACGTCCCAATATCGTCTTTACTTATTGCAATTAACTTGTTAATACGCCCCATATATCCTACTGTGCGAAGCTATAATTAAAGTCGATTTAAAAAATAATATAGAACAACATAATTTGTACGTGTAGAATTAACCTTCACCGGTGCACGCGTCTTCAGTCTGAGATCTTACCTAAATCACTCCCGTTTCCTTCTACAGTTATTCCTGTGCTCAAATCGGGTAAGTGATATAATCTTGCTAGGCTGTTGCTTTTATCCTGTTTTCCCATTTTAATTGTATTTGCCAAAAAATGCCTATCCGCTCGAAGAATAACAATTATATATGCCGATATGGGTCAAATCGTACTAACTATTTCATAATTGGACTAAATTAGCGTTACTTCCCTTCCAGTTAGAAAAGAAACCGCACTTCGGAAAGAAGTAGAATTATGAATGACTTCAGCAATCACTGATTTACACCTAAACCCCTCTTTAACGTTAATGCTGCACCCATTTTGTAGAACTTGAAAAACTATAATTTTCCAATATAAACCTCTAGAAAATCTCAACGGTTACCAAGCTATATGCTAAAGCTGATAAGTTCATTTAAATTAACATTACTCTTTATGGGATGCAGAAGACTACTCCCGGTAGACTCCATTTCATGCATAGCCTTTTTCAAGATACAGCTCCAGCTATCCACAAAAATCAGCTCAATCCACACCCTCTAAAGGTCGTTTAAGTAAGACGAACCCGCGCACCTAGACAGAAAGTACAGACCCGACGGACTCGAGGATTTGCCCCGTTTGCATTACCCTTTACTTGATCGATCGTGTGGTATACCGTACGTAATCTTTCGATCCAAGTAGTATTCATACCTTGGACGATTCTTTTAATGTGTCTTTTTCGGAGAACGTGTCAATATGGATAATAGTCGGAAAAACCAGAAATGGATACATTCTACAATTGAATCCTGCCGGAATACAACTTTGTGAAAGAGTGCAATAGCGTTATTGCCGGTTATAGGATACACGTTCTTACCGAAATCTAATAAGTGCTCGAACTAATAAGCGTCGCCCGTATCTAGCCGCATGTTGGCGGTCAATTTTCGCTTCTTCGAGTACTTTTACATGTGCTATCGGTAGATAGACGCGTCCCCCATGTCGGCGTCGGTACTTCGTTTGAGTCTTAGACGTAGCTGGCGAAAGCCACTGGAGCACAACGTTAAGGTACTTTAGAGGGGTTCATTGTTACTGCATACGTCACGAAGGGTGCGATCAATGGCCCCAACGGTTTCCCGTTTAATTATGAGACATTCATTTGTAACGTTGTACGAAGTAGATCTACTGTTTTGTGCTACGTTTGAAGGACAGATGCAATAAATATGTCAGTTTCATACAAATAGTCCACTTCAGAAGACAGGTGTACTCTAAGTTATTTTCCCTTGCGTGCAGCAGAAATGTGCCATTTTACCGCCTTATTCGTAAAGCCCTGATTTTTTAGGCGCTCATCCTGACGTTAACAGAGATAGCAGTGAGGAAACGAAGGTTCAGAGGAACGCCACAGCGACTATGGAGGTTGTCCGCTATCTGGTGCTAGGCAGGGATTTGTGGTGTTCCTGTTTGTAATAAAAAAATGATTGTCTGGTTCGGGCTGCGGATTATCTTGGCTGCAACTGCTGCGGCAGTCGCGACGCAGTCAACAGCGATTACTCGGGTCATCCACGTATTCATTCTACCGTGAAGTGTGCGACCTCTCATGATCATTTGCGTTGCCTACATAGTTTATAGGGGTTCTTTTCGAGAACTCCATAATTTTTATCCAGCATCGTTAATATGATTGGGCAGTCGAATGGTCAGCGCACGTTGTTGATTGTTTCACTGTCTAGCATAAGCGCCAAACAGGACATACAGCACAAGGCGAAGACGGTGTTTATCCATTCACCCAGATACGTTCTAATATAAGACAGTGGTGCCACTGCAAGACGCAGCGTTACGCACTCGGTAGCATGGTAGATTAGTAGGCCTCGACATCGCCGACAAGTCGGTTTCAAAAAACCGCTCTATATGGCATAAAAAAGAACGATCGGTCTAGGAAGGGTACCACGTGTAACGCAGAACTCTTCGCCTGAAAATATTCTAGCAACTGGTAAAAAAATCAGCCCAGTGGGTCTCCTTTAAGGGGTCGATTTGGATTAGACAAGCCGGTAGCTGAAGACATGTAGTCCACAAAAAGTAAAGTAGATTGAGAGACAGATAGATATAATACATAGTGTAGTATATATGGGTTCTAAATAAAGCGAGATACTCATATAATATATGTTTTTCCTATTTGTAGATTTGTTCTCCGGAGGAGCCTTATGGTTGCTACGACAGCAGTTAACCCAACCGGGACATTGTCTGGAGCCGGTGCTGCAGCAGTGACGATAACGCCTTCTTTTTCAAATGGTGGCTTTGATACATGGCGCGAAGAATCTCGGCAAGGAGCCCGCCTTTCTGTGGAGTTTCGGGTAAAATGCGCAGAAGGCTTTACGGGATCGACATGTACAGATACTTGTCCAGAACCTAACGACGTTAATGCCAGGTACGCCAGATATGCTACCATAAAAAAATGTCCTTACCATCTAGTTGGACATCACGAACTACAATAAACCATTATACTAACCTTTATATAGTAAAATAAAATGATAATTATTCAATTCGACTTGAAAGCTCAAACTTCGTTCCTCTAACCGTCATCTTATTTTGTATCGCATTGTTGATACCGGATTCGCGTTTTAGAAGGTTAGATGCTTAACGTTAAAAGGTAAAATAGATGAAAAAAATCAATAACGTATTGCTTGATAGATTCAACTGCACTGAGGGAGGAGCCAAGATCTGTTTAGAGGGCTGGAGCGGTAAGGATTGCGAGCGTGCCGTCTGCCGTCATGGATGCAGCGTCGAGCACGGTTTCTGCAATAAACCTGGCGAGTGTCGCTGTCGACTCGGCTGGCAGGGTGCCGACTGTACACAGTGTTCGCGATTACCTGGCTGTGCACACGGATCGTGCAATACTGCTTTCGAATGTAACTGCGAGTCTGGATGGACGGGACTGTTTTGTCAGCGACGTAAGTGCTGGGCTTTCGGTTGATAGTGAAACGGTTTATCGAAACACCGCTTGAGGACCAAGGTCCGTTTTAATCACGGCTGATGCTTGTCATATATGGACATCGTAGTGTATAGCATACATTGCATTAGACGCATCATTCAAAGATGTTTCACACAGTAACGTTTTGCAATCATTGCCGTTAGTTTCCGTATCGATTCTTTTCGAGTGTTCGATCGTTTTGGAGTGCATCTATACGTACTCGTATAAACAACTCGGATCAATAAAAATTGAAAACATTGTTAAAGCTAGGTTGAATATGCAGACCTAAAACGAGAAAATTTTATCTGGTAGGTTAAGATTCAGATTACTGCTGCTGACCCAGTGCCCATATATTTGGCAGCTTCTGTGTATCTTATCCTACAAAAGTTTAAATTACAAACATTGATGAAAAACATACGTTAGGTTTGATAGGTTGGCCTTGAACGTACGTACACGAAGTGAAAACGTCAGTGCTTTTAGCTTTGTCCTAATCATGCTTAGGTTCATCAGTAGAAAATAAGTGATTCTTTCTCGTTCAATAGCCATCTGTAAAACAGAATGCCATCCCACCCGTGGATTCTGCGACAAGCCCGACACCTGCTCGTAAGTTAATCGTCACTATATTCAGTTATAATAAATTAATGTTGAGTCATATTTAAAACTGTTGATTTTGAGTAGTTCAGCGAAAGAATTTGATGAGAAGTGTGCATATATTACGTTTGTTCCCAAGGCCACAAGAATCTGCGTAGAAGCAGTGAATCAATGGAAAGCGGTAGCTTTAATTTCACTCATTATTTTTTAACTTATACATTGCTACCTCGGATAGTTGCCGATTTGGGTGGAAAGGTCCAAACTGTGAGGAGTGCAAGCCCCTTCCAGGTTGCATCAATGGATCGTGCACAAAGCCTCTCGACTGCATTTGTAAACCTGGATGGACAGGCCTGTTCTGTCACATTCGTAAGTGTACGTATTTAATCACGTGTAGTGGCCTTTGTACATAACATGTTGAAATTTGCAATTCGGTAGTAGACGAGATTACGAGTTATAGAAGTAACAGGTATTGGGTCGGATAAAGAGCAATTTTCAGTTTTCAGCTAACAAAAAAAGCGGCGTTTTTCTAAACTTCTCATCACAAGTTAACCTTGCTGTCTCTTTCCGCGACAGTTCCAATCTGCAAAGACAATCAGCCTGCTTATGTGTGCCTTCTTGTTCAGCTACGGCCACAACTTTTAACTAAAAGATCGGAACGAACTGTGTGAAGAATATGGTGCCAAAGAATCTCCTACCTGAAGTTTGGCAAGGTCACTTTCATAACCTTTGTCATGGCGGGTTGTACTCGTATATCGGATCTTTTCTGTCGGATAGCTTCTTTCCATCAATGCGATTGGGCCTCATATGTAGCCTTGTTGCCGTTTTGTTCTCATAAGATTATTCCACCCTCACCAAGCTAAAATCGTTTTTTCGAGATGTAAATCTAGCTTGATCCTGGGCTTAGAGGCCCCTGCTGGAACTACACATTATTACAGTGTAATTAACGTACAGCCACTATTCTTCGTTATCGGGGACGACAATTCTGTGCAGAAAGTTGCCATTGAAGAGCCCAAGCTCCTACTTCTTGAGTAAATCCCTTAGATCTATGATGTCAGTGTTTATAGGACTGTAATTAATTTTCTCTGCCAGTTCAGATTGTTTACCTTCAAAAATGCCTTAAATGGGTCCTCATAAACTTTAGCCCGTCCGCGCGGGGTGCGACACTCATGGTTATTTTTTTTCCGGCGCCTCAATTGTCGGACCCTAAATTTAACATAACATTCTGTTCACTGTACAATGAAGAAGCAGAGAGGGCATTTTGGGATCGTGTATAGAAGTAAACAAAGTAAATAAACAGAGGACAGCTGAATGGGAAAGAAATAACAGCCCCCTCAGGTAGAGGCAACGTTTTCGACGATTCACTCTAGCTGACTAGTTTAATAAAAAGATCGGTGGTACATTTGTACTTTATATTTTACTGTATGGTTGGTTTCAGCATTCCTTGATGTCTGTGTTAGTGAAAACATGAGAGTGCGTCAAATATCCCTCTATATATAGTTCCTATATGTGCGTTGCATGTATTCTTAGAGGAACGACCCATTTTAAGCTATGTTCAATGCTTTTTCTGAAATTCAAATACCAGCGACCTGTTCGGTAGATTGTGACCCGGAGCACGGTTTTTGCGAGAAGCCTGACGAGTGCCGATGCCGCGTTGGTTGGACCGGATCGCGTTGTTCACAATGCGTCCCCTATCCAGGATGCGTCCATGGGGGCTGCACTGATAAACCATGGGAATGCAACTGTCTGCCCGGATGGAGTGGGAAACTCTGCGACACACGTAGGTCCTAAATTGAGCTAAAAAACTTCGCCGCCTTTCGTTGTTCAATATCCCTTGATTACCAACTTGTATTGTCCTATACCAAAGCTGAACTTGAATGGACTTGAAACTTGACGGTTATTGGTAGTAGTCCAAATGCTGCTTAATATAAAAGCGTTCTTCATTCGTTGACGTATAATGTACCATTCTAGGTAAAGTCAATATAAAAGACTAATAATAATTATTGATTGTTTGACTCTCCTCAGCGGCTCCTTCAACAACGACAGAAGTGCCTATTAACTTTACAGCGCCTGAAGTTAATGTTGTTACGACCAATGGCGATGGCGAAGGTAAGCTCAGAACACTTAGAATGAAGCAATGTAAAAGTCGAGTAGGAAAAGCGGGCTATTAGAAGTATTTGCCTTACTTTAGATACTATCCAACAATATTTTAATAAAGGCATTTTAATGGCATTCATTCTAATACACAAACAATGTATTAGTCGTGGAAACTGCAGAAATGATCTCGTTGTATTAACAGAAAACAAAAATTCTTTTTTTTTGATATTTAATAAAGTAATACTTGTTTGGAAAGTTCAATATTACAATATTGTTATTCAATATTATTATTAGTTCAATATTATTATTATTATTATTATAGTTGTTTTACACTTCTAAGTAAATTGGCCACCATAAAAACCATGTTCCAGGAAAGGAAAAACCACCGTGTCTAGCAAAAGTCGATGGCTCAGTTACCTGTCCAGACATCGAAACGACAAACGGGTCGTTTAATTACGCAAATCTAGCGAACTGCACCGGCGACTCGTGTGGATCTGCATCTCAACACGAGCTACTTTACCGTCTCTAATTTCGTGCGATGCGTCTCAAGACACGGTTGTGCTATGTCAGTTTTTTTATGTAAATTGCGTTAGGATGGTGTCGCTACAATCGAATCATCTACATTCAAACACCGCCGCGGGAACTCCGTTAAAACAAATACCCTACTCATGAGCTAAGGACAAAACGGGGGGGGGGGAGGGGTAGCTCTTCTACTTTTCTTACTTGTATTAAGTTCAGTAACGCTTAAAAGTAAGTAATAATGGCAAAATCAATTTGGAGAGGGAAATAATTCCGAATCGAACGCAACAGAGTCTGTAAACCAAGTAGACGAAGTTTCGCACAATGGCGGTCTTGGTTCTTTCTTTATGACCATCACTTTTTGAACTTCAGTGGTAGATAAAACATATTTATTCAATGAATTGTCACCAGATAATTAGTTTCGTGTACTTCTGTGACGAATTTTGGCCCATAAGTTATCTATATAACCGTACTACTCAATTATTTTACCATCTGTCTAAAAATCGCTGGCGAAGGCATCATGCGACAGCAGATGAATAAATCACGGTGCCCCCAAGCCAGCTCATAGCCTCAAAGTCACAGATTCAAGTGACAGTTATTTCTTATTCACCAGTATACCTAAATTTAGGGCAAATCAACGTAAAACTTTAGCCCTCTATAATTTATATATATACAAATACAGGCATATGCATAAAATATACAAAAGGTACAGAGGACGAGGTAAAGGACTATATTGTATTTTTATCTTTTTCCTTTACATACAAAGTATATATATATATATATATTAGATATCTTTATGTATATGATTTTATAACGCGTATATGAAAAAGTATTGTCACTCACTTGGCAATAGTATCGAGGTGCCTTCTCCGGCAGCTAGCGCCACCGCGTTAAGCGGATTATCCGTCAAAACACAAACAGAATCAATAATAGAAAAACATAGAACAACAACAAGAGGAGCACCTCGTAAAGCACACTTTTTCTATATCTACTTGAAAAATGCACGGCGTCTTTTTCCTGTAATTTAAGTTTTATTATCTCTGATAATCTAATTCAGTTTCATAATTACGAACAGTACAATTATCAGTGTTTCCTTCTGTGTGCACTAGCGGTACAAAGTTACGAAGCAGTCGTCATATTATCCTCTATTATATCTATTCCTATGTGCACACTACGAATGGATAAAAATGAAACGAGAAATATTTATTAAACGCCGAAGGCTAGATGCTCCGCTCCTGCTATGCATCCTGCGCCTCGTTAATTTATAGAGTTTGTGCGTGATGAGTAGAAGAAAATATATATACTGTAAGAAATCATAATACAAGCGAATAATAAAAAATAATTAGATATGTATACGTCTTTGCATTTCGTGACTGCTCAGTATAGAAGTGGGTAAAAAGAGATACCATTAGCGCCACCTAGTTAACCATTTAAGTAATACATCATTAAAATGAGGCAATATAACCAGCTTAGAAAAATTATTTGAATTTCATTACGATGGCTCTGTTTTGCGGGCCATAATCCTATAATAGAGAAATTTAAGTAAGTCTAGCTAATAAAAACGTTGCCGATAACCATAACGTTAGAGCTCAGATTAGAATAATGTAGTCATGTCAGTGAGCTATATATGCGGCAGTTAAAATATGCATACGATATATAAGGTAATAAAGCCATTAAAAGTTTCGAATACGTGTGCAATATTTTACAATCTGAGAAAGTCTAGAATATACAGGTGATCGCAGAAGTGTCAGCGAAGCCTCTCAAGTACGATAGTCGTATTGTATTTCTGCAGCGAGGCTCTTGGATAGTTTTTTTTTTTTGCTATTGTGACTGCTAACTGTGAAAGCTAAAAACTAGAGCGCGTACAAGAGTATTCGTAAGGCAAAATCGAACGGCCAAGGCTGTTTTTAAAAAATGCCAAAAACTGGAATGTCTATTATATGGAACCAAATTGTTTACAACTAGCTCTGCGGACCTGACGGAAACGCTCATCCATCTTCGACTAACTGACAGCATCACGCTTTAACGGCAACTCAGCCTCTGAAGAAAAATTCCGCCGTCCTGCTAAGGTGCCGCCATATTGGATTCGGATGGACATGAAATGCCATACATTCGGCAGTTAATGAAGCGTTACAGAGAACTATGATACGCGGAATGGTCAAGATTCTTTTCGTTTCTGAAGTCACAACCTATAAAAACTGAAATGACTGAAGTAAGTGAGATCAGAGATGCATTCACTCTATTTCTTACGAAAGGCATCAGGAATCCAAGTAACAAGGTGCGAGCTGAGGTTCTGCGTCATATCAACCATTTTAATATATATTGAGTTATTATTATTTACGCAAATAGATTTGCTCATCTGAGCAGACTGAGAAATGCGCTGGTCGTTCTGGCTTGCAGTACTACAACCGCCACCAACTTATCCAATTTCCAGTCAGCTAGTGCTTTCCCTATTATCGAACAAAGTTACTAAAAAAAAGTTAGTAGAAATAACGGCGTGTCTGAAGTTGAACTATCTAATTTCGAGAAACAAAGAGCTTAGCAAACGACTTTGAAAACCTGCGAGGAGACGCACTTCGAACTAGACAACGGTCATAAATGTAGTGCTTTACCTGACCAGTTGTTCTGTATTTTACTTTTAATAGCTTTGAAATGGCAAACCAGCTTGCGCAGCTCAAACCAAGCGGGCGAAACATCGTAAGTTACACCGAGCTAAACACTAACAAGAAAAGATCGAAATGATAAAAGAATTTCAGTTATACTGGACGATGATTTGAATGACGCAATTCTTATCGAAGGATTGGTCAGGCGATAGGAATCAGTAGCTTCATATATTTAAAAATGCCTTTCGTCTGATCGGTTTCGGTACGCTGCTGTACAACAGTTGCTTTTTGTCACATCGGGTGCGTGGTCCTGGAAACGGCTTGCAAACAACAATAGTTTGGAAAATTATATGTGTCACAAAACCAATCCTGGATAATTTGTGTAGGTTCAGTAAAGGGCGACTATATGGAAGATTCAATCCTTATGACGTGTATTTTTGCAGAAGGCCTAATTTTGTCTGTACTATTTAATGATGTCAGATAAAACCAAGTGTCTTCCCTTTTGATTGCTCCGGGAAAGTACGTCAGATGGTATGAAACCGAAGTTTCGTAACCATCACAGGGATCATTTTAGCCGAACTTTGCAACTATACACTGTAAATATATAAGCGTTCGTTGACGGGTCTTCAAACGATGCTCGGAAGCTGTTTTTCCTTCGTTGATGTGGTCGAGTGAAAACCTGTCACCGTATAACTACTACGTACAGACTATCTGTTTTTTATGTTTTTGTTTCTCGTAATAGTTCGTAGGTCATAATATTTCTAGCAGTACGTGCAACGCTGCTATCATCGAAAAATGTACGACATTTCGACATTAATCAGCAACAATAATTGTTACAATAATTACCCGTTAGACGCCTTATTGACGACTAAGTATTTTGTACATAAGAACACAGATAAAGACATCCATATAAGATTCTATAAAATATGATGGAAAACGCCAGAATCACACATTGAGACCCCAAGTGAGGTAGTATGGAACGGTTTATTGCGACTCTATTCGTTCTTGTTTTGTTTGTTACAGTGGTTCTATTTATATGCCATTGGATTATTGCGCTATTTCTATGTAAACAGTGTCCAACTCCCCGAGTGCGTTTATTTTAGCATGACGCACTCCGAAAGATTGATAAACAGGGCTCCTCCAAGCGCCTACCCGCCTATTCGACGTTTTCTACACTATGATCATTGTCGCGGTTTATTATGGTGATAACAGTCATACTAATAATCGAACTTCGACAACATGTAATTAAAGCAATGAATGTCTCTAGTGCGTCTTCCAGGTGTTTGGTGGATTTGAACCGTTGATTTTTAGAAATCGAAGGATGCACCTTAGAGGGAACTGCGCTAGCGCACAACAGCATCGACAATATGAACCCTATGTATCGCGCTTTGTAAACCGGTGAAGGAATCACTTGAGTTGCCAAAATGCGAGAAAAGCGATTTTTTACCATAGACCCATCTGTCTACTGAACAAAGCTCTACAAAACAACTGCCTTATGGACAAGCTCATTCTTATCCGTTTTCCTCTTTCTTTTTAAACAAGTTCTCTGTCCTTCGTCACAGGATGATGTTATGAAAGTTTTATTATTAGGTAATTTTTGTTTATACTTTCGGTCTCCTCGGTTCTCTGGATAACGTACAGGGTACAACTCTGATGAGCAACGGTTTGTAACTTAGCTTTGGAAACGCAGGTACAGGGCATCAGTTTTATTACTGAAACCGCTGTATGGACCATAAAATGTACCTAGCTTCAATGTCATCGTTCGATAATCGGAGCGAATTTAATTAAAATTCTACAATACATATTTGTTATGAGGATAGTATCGCATGAAAAGGCACATAGACATATTATTAATCACTTGTAGACAGGCTGTGTTCCGCTGTATTAATCACTCGATATCATTCAACTTCACGGTATGAGATTGTGCGAGACACGGGCAATATTACGTATAGAATGTGCATGGCATAAGAAAAACATCATGACTGACTTTAACGGGGTCTAACTACCAGCGCGATTCCCTAACGTGCGCGTTTGACGGCCTACTAGAAGGTCGAACACATATCTGATAAAAACCACTGGAAACGATCGTCTTATCGAAGTAGAGCTCCATCCCAGCAAAGCATGACGATCATCTTGTTTCATCAAAAGTGAAACGGGGAGCATACCTGAGAAGAATGTCAAATCAGTTACGTACAACTAGTTGGCCTGTCTTTAAATATATATGTGTTCACCTATACAGATTACGTCACCTTTAATGGTAATGGACTGTTTAATATATAAGTGTAGGCTTTGATGAGTTGAGCGACTGTTAGGGCCAGAGCCTTTGCGGGAAGATGATTCAGTTCCCGTTTCGTGGTACATTTGAATAGGTTATCCGGAATATCTGGCTCCCTCTGAGGCCTTCTGCCCTATCTGGCTGAGGGAGTTGTTTCTCTTAAACGTGGAAGTGTTCCACCCTGTCAACGAAAACGTACACATACACACAAAAGAAATGTAATTTAATCTATATCGGAAAAAACCTAACAGCAAATAATGTTTTTTTGCCAGTTTGCTTATTCGCGACAAATTTCAATCTAACGGTAGTAAAACGAGCAGATTCCACCGTTCCACAAGGAATAGTGTGATCATAAAAAAATACAAGTTTGACATTCAAACCTATACGCTCCAGGCATCAAACCAGCGGCCGCGTCTCAAACTAATCTATCGAATAAATTTATTTAAGCAACGTTACTATTGCTTTTTTGTATTTCAATATGTCGCTTCAGGATATACGGACGACGCTCGTTTTTGTACCTTGAAGGAATTTTTACGTTGTTCGGCAAGGAATTCCGCTTGATATGTTGGGCTTAGGAGGTTTGGGTTGGCGCTACTCTGTCCGGCTGAAAGAGGGCAACCCACGTCAAAGCATAATTTTTATATTTTTTTGTTATACATAGAATTTTGTCATTTTAAGAACTCGACGGCCATAATATATCTATAAATTGATAACATATACTAAGCATTTCGTATGCATCATCTATTCCTCTTTCTACAAGAGGTGCTTTCCAAAATCTATTAGCTCCGTATCCAGAGCTATAGGAGTAAACTGAAACAGAGCTTACGACTATCGTCGACGGTAAGGTCGAAGCGGCTACCCTGTCGGATAAGGACCCAGCGATCGGCATAGTACTTATTCACCTCGGTGATTTCATATCTTTTCGAAGGTTTCTGCTCCATTAGCCTAAAGCATTCACAAACACATACGAATGAATCAAGTAAAGCAAGATACACGAGATCTAGCTGTCTGAATCGATAAGTATTAAATGTGTGCTAACTGTGTTGTGATATCACTGGCATTGATTAATTGAAAAGGCCAAGTAATTGAAGCATAAATGTACATACATCGTACTGTCACTGCTCGCACACACTGAAACGTTGTCCTATTTAGCACATCATTTTGTTATTAATGACTAGATAATTTGTGCATCTTACCTTCGGAGCATTCGCAGTAGCCTTGGCGTAAAGCGTTTGAATTCGCGTGGCGTTCTCGTCGTTTTACGTTTTTGCCACTCAATAAATTCGTTAAATCTTCATTAAGAATAAAAAGCTCACAATTAGCTTTACTCAATGATTTGCAACAATAAAAAGATAATTTTGTGGGTCCGTGATAATACATTTAATTGCGATCGAATTGTTAACCCCTTGAACGGGTAGACTGTTAAATACGAATCCAAAAAATTACTTACGTCTTCAGATTCAGCGAAAAATTGCGTTAATCCATTTAACGAACACCTTCGAGCAATATAACGGGTACTCTATCCTAACTTCCGATCACCTTTGTACAGTGTAAAGTGCACGGTATTCAGATAGGAAGTTGATCTGCTTTAGGTCAGCTACTCCTGACGCAAAGATGAATTCACTGTTCTATTCTAACCTATCCCTTTGCGATTTCTTTTCAGACCCCACTTCGAAGTAAGCCGAAGGCAAACGAACTTACCTAAGGTCAGTTATATCTGCTTTATCCCATGGGAAATGAGCTGTAAGAGCAATAAAGATGAGCATAGCGATCTGCCAGACATCCGAACCTAACTCGACGTGGTACCTAACGATGAAGACCAGACAGAACGCATAGTTGAAACAACTGTATCAGGTCGACACGTAAGTGCAATAGTGCACTACATTAGACCAATGACGACTCCCTAAATCTATACGTGGATCGTTATTAGAAGTATGGAACACACTGAATTTTCTATAGCAATCAGACACACAGATTTTCTTGTTTTTAAATTACGCGGGTATCAATCCTAAACGTCGGTGTTGGTAGATCGACGCTATAGGGCACTTCTGTTGGGTAGTTAAGTAACAGCTCACTACAGTGAATAGAACTACTACGGTTGCTAATTACGGCTCTAGAGGGTATATGACTCGAATCTGTGTTGCTCGTACTCATCATTACTGTCGAATTTCGTTAAAAATGCCAGCAATAGGTTGATATTTAATGACAAATGGTTTAGTCGGTCCGCTAAACATGACGATAAATTTGGCTACAACAAACCAGCCATTTGGATTTATCTAAACGCAAGGTGTCTCGAGAAAATTATATACTGCTTAACAAATTATAACTTTCGGATTGTTCTTTTAGTTTAGGGTATAATTATTTAGAAATTAATGTATCAAGAGTAACTTTTAAACAAAAGGAACATATTTGAAAATGCTCTTATGAGTATGAAATGGCAGCATAGATGAATAGACAATCTAGCAAGGAGTTTCAGGAAGATCTATTTACGCAGTTACAATTAATTGGATAGAAGATAACTTGGAACAAGTTGATTGAACTGTTCAAGAGGTTCATAGCCAATATTCTTGAAGACAAACATCAATAGGTTTCGATAGCAGCCAAAAAAGAATACTCAAAAGTTATGGTGAGATACCCCAAACATCTGCAATACAATCCAGTCATGGCCAGAGTAAATCAAGCATCTGTCGCGTTTTAAGACGTTGTAAATAAAATGTTACATTTCCGTAATGATACATGCTAACGATGAAGATGACCCGGGCCAAAAAATAATTTTGCGGATGGTAACTGGAAAAATATAAACAGGATTAACAGTTCTTTTGTCAAGATTGTTTGGAGCGATCAAACTTAACTCGAATTAAATATCACAATTTATCGACACAATTGCGCTTACAAACCAACTGTAAATTCACGGGTTACGCGTAAGTAATGTCAATTTAGTGAGGTACCACGTTTCAGGCAAAATTGGACCATTCTCAACACGTACAATAACTGATGCTAATAACTTTAAGTTACTACAACAGTCTGTTTTACCGTGTATTCAGGAAAACTTTGGGTAAGGCAGCAAATTTTATCCCCAACAGAGTGAGGCACTTGCATGTCATCATCGTGATGTAAGAGCATATCTTGATAAGAATCTTCCAAACAAATAGGTTGGGCAAAGAGGTCCCATATAATTCATGGCCCGTTTCTCAAACCCGACGTCAATGAACTTTTTCTTGTAGGGCTATCCTAAAGTAAGGTCAACGTCAGAAAATTGATAACAGTGGAAGACTTAAAAATAGCAAGGATACGTAATGAATACTAAACCGTTATTTAAGTTCGCGAATGAATCATTTTTCTATCGTTGTCAGCAGTGTATTGACCAGAACGATAATAATTTTGAATATATCTGTGGTAAAACGAAAAGTTATACATTTTATATGTAGATGCTCTTGCAATTTTAGTATTAACAGTACGTACATAAACGTTGAAGCTAAATCGTTCAAAGTATGTATATTTTTGGAACCTGCATATATATATATATATATATGCTCTAAAGTTATTTATTACACATTGTGGTAAAATGACAATTCTCGCTTGAAGTTAAGGAGCTGTAACGTTCACTAGAATCGAGGAAAGTAGGTTTTAAATGGTATGTCTTAGAGGTCATATTCGTGGTATATTTGGCTAGTGCTAAAAATCTCTGATGCCTTTTAATAAGCATTTTATGGATGCGGCGGAATAAAAGGCGCTAAATTCGATGCAAAAAATTTGCTATGTTAAGGATTCACAAAACTGCTGTTCGTTAATATACTACATAATAGGAAAATTTACCCTTCTAGGTTGACCATCTCCCATATCTCTGGCGGACACGTTGGTAATGAACGGCTTCGTTTCTTCACTAACGTCCCAGCCCGTCGCGTTAGGCCGAAATCTGTCAGTTTTACCTAAATTACATAACGCGAAATACTTTTTATCAATAGCATACGTTATACACAGAAAGCGAAATGCCAAATGTATATGTTTGAAAGCTATAATAATATAATATAGCTAAAAAAGGATGTATGTTAAAAGTGCTAATACCTTAAATTCGCATTAGTAATATATGAAAGGATTTCATTATCTTGCTCATAATGAATACCTTTCTCAAATCTTGGCCCGTTAGGCTGTATAGTGATTATCCTTTATTCTGATGAAACAGATTTTAGGGCAACACTAAGCATATATATTGTAGTGGAGAAAGGGGGTCCAATTGAGACCTAGTATGTTCTAGTTACATCCAATAGAACCCGACTAGAATACGTCAAGTATTTCAGCTTAATAAGATGATTTAAGAAAGAGCTGATAAATAATTAGAATCGAGATAGTTTGACGAAATGGTTTCGTAAATGTATTTTTTACCGGCACTAGATAGCGCGAAAGCAGAAAGCCGTACGGTGGTGATAATAGTACGAGTGGTAAGACAATGCTAGTATCAACCTTTGGAAATGAGTAATACTTCACTGGCGCACCCTGACCTTTCTGAGGTCTCGCGAGAAGAGCAATATGTTCTCTGCTCGTACATCCCGATGCACGAGTCCCTTCGAATGCATAAACTCGAGAGCAGGGACGACCTGTTGTAGGACGATTTTTAATTCAGCCTCTTCAATACCGCCTTCTTGTTCGATCACCTGAAGACATACGAAGGCGCAGGCATTACGTATGTTTGCGATGCGGCTTAGAAATCATATAATCGTGTTTAACGTGAAGCACGTGAACGACTCGTAAAATTAATGCATAGAATAGGTGCAATTCTGTAAGCGGTAGCGTGAATAATGCACCGTCAATTTAGCGCGACTCAGGGGTACTAGTTACGTGCACACAATATAGCTCTCACCTGCCAAAGATCGCCGAGTGGTGCCACTTCCTGGGCAAAATAGTAATATTGAGGTGTTTCGAATGATACGTCGTAGGTGTCAAGGATGCAGGGATGCGGGGATAGAAAGTACGAATAGTGGAACTCCATCAAAAAATCTCGCAATGGTGTTGTTGCTTTTGGGATTGCTTTTAGAGCCACCTAGAAATGATTGAGAACAACACTGATTAGTAAATTGTAAGCGAGCCCATACGCGTTCAACAATCCGGGAAATCTCAGTAATATTATTACACGATCTGGATTGGTCAGGAGATAAGAACTGGAGAAAAATTAGTTAGCAAAAACGCTACTCCTGATTTATTTTCTGATTCAATAGTTCAGTGCTAGATTTGACCACTTCTTGCAAATTTACGTTTAGTTTTGATTCAGGGTCTCTAGACCACTGTATTTTGTCAAACGGCGCCCAGTAAGATAGTCAGTTGAGAGTAAACGTGATCAAGCAATCGGCCTCGAAGAAGCTGATAAAGCATGAGCTATTTTTAACATCAGCCTTCAGACGGGAAGTAGCCACGTAGCTCCGAATGCTTATACAGTTCAAGTATGTGGGCGGGACCGTGTTACTTTTTTGAATTAACGCATTACTTTCTTAGTTCTAAAAACAAACAAAGCTTTTTTAAATTATTATGCAGTACCTATATGAAAAACAGTTGTATGCGTTTGATATTCAAAAGGTGACCCAACAATGTTACTGGTATATATTATGTTAGGTCTCCAAAGCTAGGCTGACTAAGAGGCAGAAAATATCACAGGCATACATATATATATTGCCCGTTGTCTGTAAGCGTTAAACTGATTCTAGAACTTCTAAAATTTCCAATACAAGATTTCACGCCCAAACTGCGCGCCCTCTAACTTTGTCTTCAAAGCATCGCGCAATACTATCAAAAATGAGATAGGCACATATATAGGAGCATTCCTGACAACGGTGGCAGCTATTAAACGCAATTACGCGCCTATATATACGCATGCGGTTTAGAAAAAGGCATCATTCCGAAAGATCTCCAATGTAAACTTGTTTGTGTTATAGGACGTCGGAATACTTACAATAATATTATTATTTGTTTGTCTCAGTGGATACGAAGCGGGTAATGCCGTTTTTTCATTCTATAAATTATGATAGATATTTTTTTTTGATAATTATTTAATTTTCAGAAGTCTTGGCGCCATTCACATGCAAAATATGTTATCCAAGGAAAAAGCGAACCGTAATATATGGCACAGCTACGCTTCGTAGTTGCTGGTTTGCTAATGACGTTTAAACCTAAGCACTGCCAGGAAGGGTGAGTTCAAGAACTAATTTTTGTGATATGGCAAGCCATACCGCGTACCTCTTTCGAGGCATGACATCGCTCTCGACATTTCAGTGAAGAACTCATGTGGTGGCGTGTTACAGAAAAGGCTCAAAAGTCACCAAGCAGTAGCGTTTTTCAGACTAGCGTACTACCCTACTGGGCAAATTCTGTAACCATTTCCATAACGAATAAGTTATTTCTAAAAAAGGCCCGCGAAGGAATACTTTTATCTCGTTAATGAAACAAAATAACCTGAAAAATGTATCATCAATTAGATAAAATATATGGCTAGATAACATGTAACACATATGCTAAGTTTGATAGAACTTTTGATAAAAGACGAATTTAAACTCTGTGTATGAGGGACGTTGCTTCCTGCCTCAGTTTCACTCAAGCCAGTGGTGCACATTTTACTCATCGAACTGTAGTTTGTATCATCTGCATGGTGCATAAATACAGGCGTAAGCTCCGCAACCTCGACCGCAGATTTAACACAAAACTAGTAAAGTTTTAATCTAGCCATCCTGCCACATGGTAGGCCACAGACTATAGCAGTGTTTTAAGTTGACAGCTCTTAAGTGGAAAAGCGATACATATATATAGTAGGTGCAAGTTTTGAACTTGTTCGCGAACTATTATTTTGTTTATGTTCATTAGATGAAACCGTTGTTAGCTTGACAAACTAAAAACCTGGTTGAAATAACCTACGAAAAGGCCTTCTATAATACGGTAGTTTATACACACTTTACGTTTTTGGCATAAAAGTTATTGTTCTTGAAAACTGTAATTAATTTGTTAGCTCTTTTTTCCGTATTCCCTCTCCCTTCATTCGTCCTCTAGTTCTTCTGTTATTATTTGATATTTTGAATTACCGCTCTTGAAATAGGCCTATGGACAATGCGTAGAGCGACACACGTTAGCGTACGGTGTTTTCTTCTGTACTGACGCCATTTTTCTTACATAATCCGTGTTTTTTGATGGAATGTCAGTAGCAGGAATGAAATCAAATGGATCAAGAATGCCTAGTTCAGGTCTACTTAATAGCCTTTGGAAGGTAGGGCCAAGTGTTTTCTTATACTGGTCAAACTATGATGTCTGTGATGTCGTTTTGCTCACTTAGAGGCAGTTTCGGTTGAATAATGATTTCGTTATGAAGGTTTCTGGGAAGAATAGTAGAAATCAGAACGCACGGTAGACGAGGTTCTATTGACGATGTAGTCTTAAACTTCTCGTTGAAATTAAGCAAAGCGATGATGACAAAAGGAAACACGCACGCTCGATCGAATTCGAATGAGTTGAATAGGCTTCGTACAAAAGAATGGTCTCGCTTTGTATTGTGAAAACGAACTTTGGAATTATTCGAGCATCAAAAAATGTCCGAAACGCCCACTGGGGAATATCAGTGTAACCTGATTACGCGTATGTTATGACAACAGACGCTATCAGTACATCTTTAAGCGGAATATGACTTTGGCGCCATCTTTCAAAAAAAAAAAAGAGCCATCAGCAAACTGAACAATATTTGCTAAACAAAGGCTATTATTTTCACCGCATACACCTGTTGCAGAAGACAAATCGTATATAACTAAACTACTACCGTTAGCGCAATAACGTCTACTCATTGGATCTTCAGATGCCCCTTAGCGTTCCTCTGTTAAAATGAATCATTCAAATCATCTTCTAGTTATTACAGCTGCCTACAAAGCCAGATCGTACGCCTCGGTATTTGTCATCAGTTTATCTATAAACCAATGGGCGACTGTTTGCCTTGATGAGATTGGCACAGTCCGTGGCACATATTGAAACGTTACGCATTTAGACGCTGTACGGTTGAAAATATCTATGTTCTTTATAGCAAATCGAAATATCAACTGTTGTTTCAGAAGTAAACATTACATTACGAACTGACAAATAGAAATGTCGAGGATTAATACGTTTCTAGCTATTCTTTTCAGACTAGCTTTACTCTAAACGTATTACCTTCAGACATTGCTAACAGAAGTAAAAAAAAATCGTGAGAAAAGCAATCTTGTGTTCTGATATTTAGGACATTACTGACGACGTTCGTCTTCTCATAGTCCTGGATAAGGGACCTGTATTATTAGCTTTGCATTAACATTTTGTAGCTTGTAGAAGCTAGCGATGTATATCGTGAATACGAGTGAACTCTATGACAGAGGCTTGCCACAGGATCCATTAATATTCGCATAAAACCGGTGCTGGTTTTACATAAGAGATTTCGTAAGTAGAATGGTATATACGTGCACATATAGATATACCCAAAAGAATGTAGCCATCTTCTACTGCGGCGCTATGAGGAAACAGAAGGTCAACTCTGTGGTTCGCAGAATATCTTCGTAACAAAACGAGCGGTCAGCTCCGTTAAATAGCTAATCAGATCAGCAGATCAATTTCTTTCTAATCGTACTCAATTGACTCATATTTTTTTTCCCGGCTTTTACGGACGCAAACTACCTGTCCTTAAATAACACTCATATTCAGGCCGTGATACGAACGTGAACGCGGAGAGCATCTATATTGTTTACGGCATTTTCTCAGCTAGATTTAAATTAGAGTTCCCCTCCAAGATTTCAGATGACGCACAATCTACAACATACTCAGTATCATCTGAAGATTTGTCCGCACAACTCTGTAGATGCCTTAGGACATAGCAAAAATAAAATTTTATAGGCTTAGGTAAACAGATTGTTCGGCATACTTTAAAAGAAAGAGAGACACCGTGAGACTATCTTAAAGATCTTTTGCAGCTTTGGCCTTTGCTTCTCTTATGTCCTTTTCGTAATCATATTTATTAGACACTCGTATACAAATAAAACCAATTATCACTGACATCGTTTCCCTAAAAATTGAAATGTACAATAGGCATTTTTCAATCTAAAGCTTGCGTCGCATTTTAAACCTTAAGATCTTTCTCATAAGGAGAGACAGGCTAATGGCGAACGTTTTAATGAAGAACATCACAGATCTCTTATAGATCCCTTTGCGAAGTAAAGCATTGCAAAAACAGTTCGTATTATAAACATAATCAAACCTAACCTTACTGGTGTTACTCAAACATGTTATATATATAGGTAAGGAACACGGTATCACACGATCGTAGTGAAACCCAGGGACATCAGATCATACGGCTCAGTCTCAACTTACAAAGTTATATAAAGTTAAACAAGTTGCTAAAGAGCAAACTTATAGAATAATGGCAGATATGTAATTAAGTTTTTTTAAACACGGTACATCAACAACATTTATCTATCTACTTTACCGTTTAATGATCTCAAGTTTTATTCGTAGGCACAGAGAAGGAACTAGTGTTTATATGTGTTCGATTTTTATTAGTCCTCTACTCTTGACGAAACCCTTCAATATATACAAGATCAAAACACAGATAACTAGCTCGTCTAAAGAGGAATACTCTACATTTGAGGGGGTGCGTCATTCAAGCGCCGTCTTATTCAAGTGATAGGAAATAAATTAGAAAAAAAAAACTATTTCTTACTTAAACCAGTTCTATACCGCTCGGATTTTTTTAATATATATTAGGAAATTATATAAATAAATTATATTAAAAAAAATACAGAATTATAGAGTCTTTCCGGAAGGTATTTATGGTTGTAGAACGTGTACTTTTTTTTATGAATCAGTAAGTAAAGATGGTTCCCTTCAATTATTGCGACGATCATTATTACTATGACAAGGTTTTTATTTGCTAATAAAAGAAAAAAAACCGATTTTGAGCTTCGAGATTAACGTAATTTATGAAACAAATAAATCTGATAGGGTACGACCAAATTTTCAGATGAACTACCTTCTGAGTATTTTTCCTAACGAGTGATTAGTCAATGTTTATTTAAAAAATTAAGTATAAACTTTTGTTGTTGTTGGGAATAGTTTGCGGGGAAGCACGTGAATGTTGTACAGTTATGCTAAACTTTCTATTGTCACACTAACACATAATAGCGAGCTCACTCGTTCGTTTTCGCGTACAGCCTACAACGATTTAGTAACCGGTTTTTATTTTTCTTGAGTAATAGTTGAGCGTGACGTTCTCGATCTTCGGTTCCTTATCTTGGTGCAGAGTAGGATCCGACTTGTGTCAAACTAGGTTGCTGTAAAATCGGGTTTTATGCAACTGCATGATATTTAGTCCCAACAAGACGGAAATGTTTCTAGTCAAATATTCCAGGCTTTGATAGACACTAAAAATCGTAGTTGAGAATTTACCTCTGTCCCTGTGCTTTTGTGTTTTGCGAGCGACACTTTGCCATAATCACCGGAACCAATCTCCCGAAGGATGTCATACTCATTTTCAATTTCCTCAGTCCAAGGAAGTTGTAATTCGCGCACCTTCGATATGGTAGCTGCACGTTTCAGACTTGTCTCCATTGTATCTAGTCGTTATTAACTCAGTGGATTACCTTCACCGAAATACACCTAAACTGGTATATCCTATGTGGCACAAGAATCAGTCATACACGGTTTCTTCTCCTTCCTTTTTTTTTTTTTGAAGTACACCGTAACACTCTGCGTTCTTGTCGCTTAATTCGCTTTCTTACTTCGCAAAGATAGCTAAACTTCACAACTTTACAAATCGTGTACCAAGAACTGACGAACGGCAGCTTAATTCATGAGGTTCACTGGTTTTATTATAAAACTTGTGCTATGGTTATCTGTAAAAAGAACCCAACGTTTTATTATTTCGTTACCGGCCTAGCGTTCAGTAGCAGCGTAGGATCGGTGTTAGTCACAAGTTCAAGCATCATCTAGATGGTTGTTACCTTGCGCCGCTCCATCAAAATCAAAGCTCAGATTTTTTTCAAGCCATGTGTATATCACAAAAATCATTTGGCTGCATTTGGGCTGAAGCAAGTTATAATGGCGGGGAGAGCAGTGTAAACGTTAGATTACAGCGCACTTGCTGTGACCCCGCCGTAGCTGGTAACCACTCAGACTAGTGCAAGCCTACCGCCATATAGTAGTACACCGCCATCTTGGCATAGCTGCTAGAACATAGGTAAGCGAGCCCCTTCGACGATCCTGCGCGCATGGCGCTGAACGCTTTTTCAGAACAGATACGACCGCATCGGAAGAACTTTACCTGCACCGAAGACTATCAATTATTTTATATACGTACAGTGGTTATCTGTTCCGTTTTGATTAAACAAGTTACGCGGACAAAAAGGCAAAGCACTTTCTTGACGGGGAAACCCCGTTAAAGGGAGGCTCCGTCGATGGTGACCAATCACGCGCGATATGGGGCTCGTGTTTCCGCTTCGAAGTTAGCCTATCGAGCGTTGTTCCGCCTGGCCGCGAGCGTCGGAGTCGGCGGAGGCGGCAGTAGGCCGTGCAGCCAGCGGTCAACAAAAGCCAGGACTGCACTATACCGTACACCCAACTCACTATCCCACTAACAGCCGTTATACCGTTGCATCGACCATAAGTAACCGAGCTAGCAATTGAATAGCATACACATCGCTCGTTCACCTAGCCAGTAAACTGCGTTACTCCTGCAGAATGTGACGCTGCTGGCCTCTTTTCCCGTTGACCCATTTGTTCAACTCCCGGTTTGTCGCTCGCGGCTTCCCTGTTTGCCTGCGAGGGCCGGCTGCTGCTGTTAAATAAACGATTAAAGTCTGTCGTGCGCAGGACTGAACGCCCCTCCCTCCCGCAATACCACCATCATCAACAGTAGTCACTAGTCGCAGCTGCCGGCAGTCACCAGAGAGGACTTAGTAGCACTACAGCGGCACCGGTGGCCGCCATCGAATAGCAGATCACCAACCCAAGTCGACAACCGTCTCGTCGGTGCGGGACATTCGCTGCCCGCGCGTAAGCCGTGCTCAGAACGAACAGAACTCGAAGAGTTCTCGACTCCTGCAGACTTCGGCGCAAAGATGCGTCGTCGTCGCAAACTGCCCGACCCGCTCGCGTCTTTCAGAAACCTCTCATTCTGGCCAGAGACGAGAAACTACAAACAACAACTAATACGATCCAAAACACTGACTGGCAACAACGGAAGGTAGAATCTGCGCGAAATGCCCTGCTGCTGCTGCCGCCAATTGCCCCGCTGGGTGCGGTGAACATATAAACGACGATAGAAGAAAAAGCCGGCTATCTCTCAACCAGTCCTAGGACCATCATTCGCAGGCAGAGCGGTGGGAAAATTTACCCAGATCGTAGAGACAAGTATTCAGTCACAACTATCGTCATTAGCTCGCGCACGAAGAGGCAGCTGCATTTGCTGCGAAGGAAGACTGCGGCGCGACTACACGCTCCTACATTGCCACTGCTATAACACCAGTAGCATTAGATATGGCAAACGCGGGTTATTTCGTACAGCCGGTGTGACCTACGTGAATATGTGTGTTATATAAGCTCGGTCGCAAAATAGATAGACTAGTAAATATGTGGTACTTGTTAGAACTCGTATATAGTCCCACACAGTGTGAGGCGCCCACGCCCAGGTACCTCTGAACGTCAGGGTTAACGCCAAACATCGCAAACAATATGCTCAGAAATTCAAAAATCGTATAACAATACTATTATTGATTAAATTTTAAGCTAAAGTTACAATATTTATATATGTATGAGAAATAGAAACTATGCCTTTGATGACTAGCAACTATTATTAGAATAATACGTTTAAAAACGAACAGACTTACTTATAGTTATACGAATATATACGAAGGCAAGTTATGTGATGTCTAGCGTATTCGTGCGTGTCTGCTTTCAAGGTGCGGTAGCGAAATGATCGACGGTGAGGACAAATCTTAGCTCAACAGAGATAAGTGCCTCTTTTTTTTTTTTGTTCTCCTGCAGTATCTACATTGGCGAGTGTCTTTTGTAACTTGGGAACGATGAGGCATTAAGAAATGTAACTGCTTCTTCCAAAAGCTTTCTGAGAATCGATTTCAGCCTGCTCGAAACGGCTCTTGTGTTCTTTTTATTTTAGCAACAAACGCTCTTACGAGCAGCTCTGTTATGTACAATACTTTAATTCACATTAACTTTGCACATTCGGATGATGTCACGATCTACCTTCTAGAGACTACACAATGTCTGAGCCACAAATCTCTGTCTGTGATATCGGTCGACGTTAGGATTTTGACCGCACGGAAAGTTAGAACAATCAGCATCTTTACGTTTAAAAAAATGAACTCTCCTGCTTCCCGTGGTCTGGCCAGTGTCTTTTCTCGGTCGCATAGTGCAACTGTAAGTGTGGAGGACTCCTGCGAAGTCAAGCATCGATATTCCAGAGACAAATTGTCAAGATCCGTGCACAGAACTTCCCTTTTTGGCACGTTTATAGCAAATAGACTTTATAGATGACAAGTGACCCTATCGACACCATAGCTGCCGGCGTTATCGGATCAGTAGTAAGCTGAAACTCGATCTCCGTTAGTGATCTTGCGCATCCTCTAATTTGTATATCTTGCTACGTTTATAGTCAGCAGGGTTACGGTCTCTCTACTATCTATAGCTGGCTTCGCAATGACTGTCTGCATTCTGTAGCCCCTAGAGTCGCGCATGCACTGCGATAATGTGAGCCTTCCTTTTCCCAATAACAATATAGTTATTATGTGATAGCACTGGCCGAATAATCGCCAGATATCGATTATGAGAAACGGCCGCTCCGCCATTTCGGCGACCTGTATAGATGCTATGCGCAGCAGGACAGCGACTTCCATAGAAGTAACTTTCTTTTAGAGAAGCGACTTTCCATTGGAAGTAGGCTGAGCGCTAAAACCTACGTTTATGCCAAATTAGTAACTCTGTCTTTCAAGCTAGTCTCGAGTAATAGAGGTATCGAGAAAGGGATGCTTTTTTCATTCTTATCGTTCGATGGTTGTTTATGCTGTACACAGCCCCTCGATAAGGTTGCTGAGAGTGGATACAAGTGGCTGTAGTTAATGCCCCGCTTCTGTCGTCGAAATAACATTTGTTATTCTAATATCTCTTACGATGGTGATTGTCGTTTCCTTTCTTATTGTGAGTCTAATCAATGCCGCGGTAGTTGATGACGGCCGATTGAAGCGTTTGTTGGTTTCGTTGATTTTTCACCGATAATAAACACTATGCAAAGCATCAAACACTACAACGGATATCAAGAGATGACAACCCTTCCGATCGTGGTAGAAAAAGCCACTTGAGTATTGCACAAAGGCCAAATTGTTATGGAAAAAATCTATATAGAAATGAAAACTGATTCAAATTGCGCAAGCGGCACTATTAGCGCACTTTTAACAGGGCAGCCGCTTAGCAGCTACAGATACAGACTCGTATGGCGTTTGCTCGCACTTAAAAACTAAGACAACGTATCGCACTAGATCCCGTATGGCACGGGTTCGGCAGTTGACGCTAGATTGTTTACGATCTTCTAAATTAGATTTCAGGAAATCGGCTTAAACTAATTCGACCGAAAATTCTAGAAAAGGCTTTGTCGTACATTTGCTGGAGAGAGCCAAGACCGAAGCTAGAGGCTTTCTACCTTGAGCAAGTGATGATTTGCTATGAGCTCTACGTTCTCTGACTGCGTTCACTCTAAAGAAGCGGATCGATGGGTGGCTACCTGTCCTTTTTTGAATGTACTTATGATCGAATATGAAGCAGCTTTGCCTGATTTGATCAAAGCGCACAATGGCACGATCAATTCATGATTTTTTATTTTTATCACTTAATGATTATAGTTACTTGGTGTGATATAATGATGTTAAAACGGTAGTGTCTTGAATAAACTGATGCTCTACGTAAAACAGCCTCAAAACTCTGAAGCGCAGACCGAGCGTTAGTCTACACACTCTGCTGAAGCACTCACGTACTTTTCAACACAAACCGGTCGGCAAATACCTCCGTTAATTGATGCGAAATACCGTAGAAGGTACACTGACGTTTCTAAGAAAGTTTTGCTGAGAAAGCTGATGCTAAAATAGGCTAGGAGATACAGCTGAGTAAAGATTAGATTTAATAACCGTTTGTGGTTTTCAGTCTTTTCAGTTTTCTTGCTTGAATTACGTAAGACACTCCATGTATGCTATGCATTAGGCGTTTAATTAGCAGCCAGGATTAGTTGGAAGTGCTTCGATGTCGTCTATCAGCAAAAGCAGCTTTACATCTGTTGTTATAGGAGTTATCTGTTCAACAGTATAAGATAATTTTACTGTCGATATATAGATATCCATCTGGACAGATAGGTGCAACTGTTACAATACGAGAAATCTACAGTTTTGCAAGGGTTCTCTTATCATCAGGTTATATGTTTGGATTTTCTATTTTTGTGTCACCTTTATTTTTATATTCGAAAGTATTAAAACAATCATACTTATTCGTTCACTTGAAAAATGGCCTAATGAGATAGGTCGTAATATTTCGCAATCCTAATTCACTCTCTTAGCTTATGTACAAACGCTAGTCAATGCAAACTACAATAGCGGTCTATGCCACGATAGTTATTTCCCTAAGCGGTAAAGGTATCGAATTGTATACCACCTTATTAAGTAAATTATTGATTGATTGATTTATTGATTGATTGTAGGATCTTATTAACTTAAGTACAGTGGACGACAAAAAAGACGAATCGTCTTGTCAGCTTTGCTAAAGACGTTACCACGCCTAAAGCCGAATTGACTTGACCCCATTTTTGTGTAAAGCGGCGCTAACAACCGCGCGTTTGTTAGCAGAAAAAAACCGGCCCATTGTTAGTATGCATATTCTCGATGATAATCTCGAGATCATGCTTTGGGAAGTGCGAGTCTATGAACATTGTCAGTCTTTGGCTGGGAGCGTAAACAGCCTCTAACAATGAAATAGCCTATAGCTACAGCTCCTTATACAGCTGCACAGATTTGGTTTAGGGTCAGCAATTCAATTCGTAAAAGGTCCTAAAATGATCCGGAATCCTATTTTAACTAATTATCGTAGTTATTGGTCCGAACCAATCTAAACAAGCTTGTATCACATATATTGGGTGGACGCCGTGAGAGGTCGACACTGCAGCCATCTGCTTTTCGAGCACCGAATTAGTGCTACACGGATATGTGGATGGGAGCCACGACCCACGTGTGCGTGTTTCAGCGCACAATTATTATGTAGGATGTAGCGTTTTAGTGATTTGCGGACGACGTGGGCTGCACGGTTAAACGGGGGAGTTCCGTGAAAAGAGAGAATGATCTTTTCCATTGAAGTGGCCTGTGTTAGATGACAGCTAAGCTTGATATTTATTGAACTAACAATTATTATCGAATAAAGCGAGTTGCTATGCTTTTTGATTCTCGTCAAAATAGTTTCAGAATATAAAGCAATATGTGTAGAGCCAAATATCTACCTTCATTTACAGTACCACATAACCAAAGCTCGAAATCTGGTGCTACACAGAGGTAGTTGGGTGGGGCTCGTTGTGCAGGGATACGTTCGTCTTTCCTAATAGTAGAAGAAAAAAAAAAAAACATTTTTTATTTTGATACATTGGTACACGGCGATACATTCATTGTCTAGATTAACAGCTTTCGAATATTATAAAACTCTACACTTCGTAACGGAACGCAGATTTGAA